GCCATTGATACTGGGAAGGCCTTTCCTCGCCACCGCCAAGGCCCTCATAGATGTGCATGATGGGACCTTAGTTTTGAGGGATGGTGAGGAGCGAATAGCGTTTTCAATTTCTGATTCTCGTCCTGCTTCGTCACCTTTGCATGCTGTATCTCACAAGGAGCACGAGTCTGTCGTGTATCCTCCTGTGTTGCCTATTTTGCAGGATCCGCCTCCCATACCTTCGCCGCCACTCCCGTCCACTCCATCATCGAAGGAACAAATCAGGGAGGAGTGGCGGCCGAAACAGCAGGCAGTAAAGGCTGCTCGAAAGAAGGCCGGAGACCACTATGAGCTGGTCCCGCCCCCACCTTAGCCATCCGAGTATTCACTCGCTTGCATCCTGCCAGATGGCCAAGTTGAGCTGGCAAATGCTGGTGGCCACATTCGGCGTGTGCATGGCCACCATTTGAAGTTGTACCTCAAGAGCGAGGTGGATCCGCTCTTGAAGGCACATGCTCCTTCACCTCACTGAGCATCCACCGACTGGCGTCCAGCTAAAAGACGGTAAAGAAGCGCTTGTGGGGAGGCAACCCCACCTAGGTTTGCATTTTCTTACCTTTTTCTTTTCGAATTTTTGTGTTTTTTTGAGTCTTGAGATGTTGTTCCAGAGTCGAAGGTCGTTTTGGAATGAAAACAGGTTGATTTTGGGGCTCCAGCAGTTCACACGGCCAAGCCTTAAACTCACACGGTCGTGTGAAGGAGTGACCAGGCCGTGTGAGCTCTCGACATTTTTCACACGGCCAAAAGTGCAGCTGGCACGGCCGTGTGGATTGGCCTGGCCTGGCCGTGCGGCCGACACGGGCAAAACATTTTGTGGCACGGCCGTGTGGAGGAGTGCCCTGGCCGTGTCCGCTCTCGCAGAATATGGCACGGCCAAATGAGCACATGGCACGGCCGAGTGGAATTCTTCGGCCAGGTCGTGTCGGCCGACACGGGCAAAAGTGCACGCGACACGGCCGTGCGTGTCTGGCCGTGTGGCCGAGACACGGCCTATTTATTCGGCCAGCACGGCCGGGTCGTCAGAAAATTTCAAAACACTCGCCGGAAACCTCTCCCCCTCGCCGGAAAACCGCGCCAAAACCCCTCTTTTTGATTTTTTCGGCCATTTTTTGTCATCTTTTCACCAAACCAACAACAAACCCACTCTTTCTCCACCAAAATCGGCCTATCCCTAGATTTTGAGGAGATTTGGCCGACGTTTTTGTCGCCGGAGGCGATTTCCGGCCAGACTCCGGCGAGGCTCCGACGAGCACTTCTGGGCACTTTTCGGCTTTTCGTCGCTTCCATCGCCTTCCCCTCATCATCCCCTACACCTCTACTTGAGTCTCCAGGTTTGATTTTGCCCTTAACTATGTTAATTGTGGAGAATTGGGTGTTAGGGTGCATGTTTAGAGAACCTTAATGAATCTTGTGATTTTTGCGAAATTGATTGAGGGGAATGCATGGAGTGTGTTTGAATTGTGTTGGGCAAAGTCCCCCTTGATTGTTTGAGCCCTTGTGTGCAAGAATTGTGCCAATTTCATGCTTACCTTAATAGTGCACACAAGGTGTTCGATGAAATGCCTGTTTTCGTACCATTTTGTGGGGGTCGGTTGGGGCCCTTAATGATGTGCTTTGAGGGTGTATTTGGTATGGATGTGAACCTTAAGTTGCCTACTTGTTCATGGATGTGCACCCCCACTCAGATTATGCTTGATTTATCGAGTTTCTGACCCCCGAACTATGGATGAAACCATGGTTAGGCTGTTTTCTGTTCTTAAGTGTGGGGGTGTGATTAACATTTTTCTTGGCTGTTTTGGTTCCACTTTGGGCTGTTCTTTTGCAGGATCATGTCGAAGCCCAACCTCCGACATCAGTATGTTCAGGATTTGAGAAGGGGGGCCCATCGAGATCGTTTTCAGAACGTCCTGGCCTGCAAGTTTGGGCAGCACCATTACTGGTCGAAGCGCGAGTTGGAAAAGCTCAACTGCTACGAGCACCTCTCCCCCGTTGTCACCAACAAATACTGGCGCCGCCTACTCAGCATCCGCGCGACGGTTTACTATGAGCTCGTGCTTGAGTTCTACACCACCTTCAAGCACGCAGCCACGGATGATTAGAAGGATGAAGCTGCAGTCCAGTTCCGACTCGGGGGTGAACCACGCTCTATGAGTTACGACGAGCTGGCGGACGCCCTGGGACTCAACTTGGTAAATGACAGGAACTTCATCACAGAGGTCGCCGAGCCAGTAGGGGTGGACTTCGGGAGGTTGTACTACAGCCTCGCTCGGCCACGTCAGCTTCCCTTCAAGGCGGGGAAGACGAAGGCCACCACATGGCAGCTCGAGAACCGTCTCCTCCATCACATGCTGGCCAAGTCTTACACCCCAGCCTCCGACAGTGCCAGCGCCATCACCAAGCGATCCCTGTACTTCATCCAGTCCATGCGCCAGCGGGATCATCCCCTACACTTGGGCTCGGTGGTGGCGAGGACCTTCGAGAAGAGTGCTTCTGAGCTGAAGAGACTCCACTGCACTCCTCTCATCACCTGCCTGGCAGAGTATTTCCAGATATCCCTGCAGGGGTGCACGGAGCAGGGAGCGGCCACTCCCTTTGGCCGGGCTACGCTCACTAAGATGCTCCTACTTCGAGAAGATCGAGGAGTCATGTGGATCGAGGGGTTTCCTCAACCCCAGATTCCAGAGGCGGTCCAGCAGGAGGCTCCCGAGGGTGCAGCTGATGAGGAGGTCCAGCCCGAGGGCGTGGATGACACTGCTGCTGCCCGCCCCACCACCTTCGAGTACGGGGGTGGCAGTTCCAGTTTCCTGGGGCAGGATTACTTCACCTCCTAGTTCGAGCAGCTGCGTCTTCAGAACCAGCAGATCATCGACCATCAGATGCAGTTCCAGCAGCAGTACGCGGCCCACCAGGCCGAGTACCACCAGAGGATGGCGGGTTACGATGAGAGATTGGACCAGCTCCAGACCCAGCAGGGAGTGACTCTCGCCCACATCGAGCGAGAGAGGCGCCGTTCTCGGCGCATGCAGGAGGTCCAGCAGCATCTGCTCCAGCTGCTACCGGGCGAGCAGCCAGTCTGGAGGACTCCCTGGGAGGACTCTCCACTTCCACCTCCCCCTGCGGATGGTGATGATGGTGCCGATGGTGGTGACGCCTTCATGAACGACATCAACTTCAATCTGGACGACCTCGGCGACGAGTAGGCTGTACTCGTTGCCCATCTCAGTGTGTTTTGTTTTTCGTTTTAGACTTGTGTGTGTTTGCTCCATGTGTGAGGAGCTTGAACTTAGTGTCGTTTGTTTTTGTTTGTTTCTTTTGTGGATTGTTTCTGTTGTAGCCGTCTGGGCTAACACTTATCCCTAACGCATAGTGTGCTAGTGTGTTCTGGGTGTTCGATGCGTGCAGAACTGTCCATCTTCCCGGTTGTTTCTCGCTGACTGGTCCACTTCCAGTCCCCCAGCAGTTTCAATCCGGTAACATCGTTCCCCTTCTCTATCCCTCTGCTCCATTGAGGGCAATGTCGTGCTTAAGTGTGTGTGTGGGGGGGGGGGGGGTGCTTTGTATCGATTGGAATGTATATATGTGTGCTTGGAGCCTAGTCCACTGTCCAAATCTTGAGATTTGAGGGCTCCAAGTACTGCTGTTTGATCATATTGGCACTGTGTTTTGATTGATGAATTGAATGGTTTTCGGATTGATGCATGACAGCTTGATTGTGACTAGGACAACCTATGATGAGGACTAAGATGTGCAGTAGAGTTGTGTAGGGGTTCAGTTTTTCAACTATTTGCTTACCAACTGTGACTTGGATTGATTACTTGTTCTTGACAGTCGTTTATGCATCTAGTTCAGGGTATCAGAATGTGAGATAGAGCATATAGGTAGCCATGTGAGATTTGAGCCTGCTCGTTTCTTTCTTGTGCGATAGATCCCTCTTCCATAATGTGTAGCATTCACGTTGTCACTAGCTAAGATGATGGGGGCATAGGATTAGCCCACGACCAAATTTGACTGTCCTGATGTGTCATATCCCCTAGTCAGCCCTTTTGAGCCGTGTGTTATCCTTTCTTTTGGTCTAAAATGAAAAAAAATCACCTTGTTTACATCTTTTAGAAGGTTCCACAGAGTGGTTCTTACATATTCTCTGCTGTTTCTGCTAAACTTGATGTGAGTGTTGGAGGTAGTGCTTAAAAGTTGAGCTGGGCAGGTATTTGAAATATGTGCAGAAGTGGTGGCTCTCTTAAGAAATGCAAAGAAAATGAAAGAAAAACAAAGAAAAATTGAAAGCAAAGAGAGCCGCCACCAAAAAATCTGAATAATGCCCAGTAAGTAGTGTTTCTTAGCAGTCTGGCTTGGAAATGCTGACATTTATGCCTCCTTCGCTCTTGAGCTCTTGAGATGTTGAGCATTGCAGAATAGCAGAAAGGGAATACCGGTTTGTTTGACTGTGATTGTGTGGGTTTGGAAATGTGGAACCTTGTGCTATGAATACTTCCACCACCTAAAAGGCCTTTTCCCCATGTCCAAGACCCTAGCCAGTCATTTGAACCTGTGTCTAAGACCTCCTGATTAGTTAGTGGTGACACCTCATATGTGAACTCTAGCATTTAGAGGCTGCCATCATGGTGAAGAGATGTTAGGGATTGAGAGAAATAGCATGCGCATTTTTCGCATCAAATTGTCCTGACCCCACTGGTCGAGAGTGAGTGATTCATTTTCATATTCTATATACTCTTGTACCCCGGTGAGGACCTAGATTGCTCGGTCTCTATTATGATGTCTTGAGTAGGATGCATGAGTTGACTGTTTTGAGTAAGTGGTTGAGTCAAGTCTAGGTTGGTTGGTGAACAGAAGGGAGACTCTTCCTTTACTCGATTTTGCTGCACTCGAATGTCCTTTGTGGTGGTTGTCCAGGTTGCTAATGAAGTTGGTCATGTATTGATGTTTGAAAACCAGTACGATTCACGTGTTCTGTGCCTTTATGACTTGTCCCCAATGTTGATTGATTGAGATATGTAAGCTTACCTTGTGTCTGACTTGGTTTGCTTGGGGACAAGCAAACGGTTAAGTGTGGGGGAGTTTGATAGACCGTTAATTACACATGTTTTTACCCCTGTTCTTACACCGTTTGAGATGTGATTTCTCGCGTTTTAGGCCGATTTCACGCTAGGTTGTGCTTGTTTGTGATATTTCAGGTCCTAGTACGTGAATGGAGACTCGGGAGCGAGTTTGGGGTCGATTGGACGAAGATCGGGCGCGAGGCAAGTCACAAAGGAGGCCACACGGGCACACCCACAAATCACACGGCCGTGCAACTCATATTTCTGGCCGTGCGAGTTTTGCCGAGAGCAAACACGGCCTGCCCTGACAATGCACACGGCCATGTGGCGAAGTGATCTGGCCGTGTGACTTTTGCCGTGAGCAGACACGGGCAGATGGAAATCAAACACGGCCGTGCCAACCTGGCCGTGTGAGAAGCCTGAAAATCGAACTAAGTGGAACGCAGCGTTTTAACTCACACGGGCAACTGGGTATGCCACACGGCCGTGTGGCCCTGCCCGTGTGAGTCGGGATTTCCTGGTTTTAACCCAATTCCGGGCTGCAAGAGAGAGGATCGGACTTTTTGAGCAAAAACAGAGTTTTAGAGAGAGAAAGGACGAAGAACACATCCTAGAAGCCATCTTGGAGCTGGGTTTCATCAAATCAAGCTTGGAGATCGTCCTAGGAGTGGAAATCATCATCCCGGAGCAGATTTTCCTCATCATTATGAGTATGACTACTCCGATTACTGTTTTCTTATCTCTCTCTATGGAGTAGAACCCCTCTCTCACTTGGGGATGAAGAACCCTAATTCTATGTGTTAGGGGATTGATTGTAATGACTTGGGATGATATTACTGTTTTGATTTTAATCGAATGATGCATGTTTATTGAGTCAATTGAAGTCTGATCAACTTTTCCTGATTCTTGTTGCAATCTGAGATAGATAGAATCTGATTAGGTTGCTAGAGTCTCATCATTCGATAGTAGGAGATTGGCTATACGAGAGTTAGCCAGTTTACTGCTTTGTACTGGAATCTAATTCCAGTAGTGAATTTCTGTTCTTACTGCTTCAGCTTTCTATCCCGGTGAAGACTAGTCGTCTGCCGGATAGTTAGACTGAGAGGGCTTGGTCAGCTTAAGAGATTCCAAGCTACTGCCGGATCTTCCGCAGTCTAATCAACAGTAAATCAACCCAGGGTAAATTGCAATTGAACCTAACTAAGGAGCTAGGGGGATTCATTCCCGAGTGACTCTTTCCTGCTTGAGAAAACCGAATAAATTCCTGCTTTATTTCTGCTTTTAGTTTAAACAACAATCACTTACTTTAGTTGACTAGATAACAGAGAATCACTGAGTAAGCAGTAGATCTAGACCCCGGGTTGATAATATAACTTGCCTGTTACTGCATTCCCGGTCTGCGATTACACTTGGTCGCAGATTGGTGTTGTGTTTTGGCGTGTCAGGCATATAAAGAACAACCTCATTACCAAGAAAAATTTCTCCCACAACTAGAAGGGCCATTGAAGCTGGAGTTACCCATGGTAGCCTTCACGGGCCATTTTGCAGAGCCATGCTACACTCCACAGCCAGATCCAAACTATGAATTGAGGCTTCTCATGGAGCATTTTGCTCAAGACAGTGAGAGATCATGCTCCAGGATGGATCTTTGTACCCAAGCCTATCGTGAAACAGATGAGATCCTCTTGAGCATTAAGAAGAGCCTCGATGATCTTGAGAAATCTTATGCATAGCCTGCTCAAGATTAACCTTCTGCTACTATGAAAGAAGAGGAGGAGGAAGACGAAGGCTACGAAGACAGTGTGGAGCAGACAGAAGTTGTCACTGAGAGCTCCCGTGATGATAATGATCAGGAATGTCCTATTGTAGCCGACCACACCTTCCCACATCCCACACCGAGCTTTGAAGAGGCGGGCATGAGTGAGGAGATGCAAGATAATCTCATCAAAGAAATTGCTTGGAGACTTGCCCTTCAATCCGTGCTGGAAGAAGAAGAGCAAGAAAGGGTGCAGAAAAAAGTTGTGGAGGATGACGAAAGTGAAGTATAAGGAGTTCTTGATCATTTCCCAGGGGTGATACCACATGAAGAAGGAAGGGAGGTTGAAGAAGCAATTGGCGTCCAGGCCGAGGACGAAGTTGAGGTGGAAGAGGCTTTCACCAGCCATGAGTTACATGTGATATCTACACTAAACTTCGAAGAACTGCTTAGCAAGGATCCATTTGCAGTGTATCTTTGCCAGACCAAGGCCACATAGACATCGGTCCCTCTTGGTAGATGCAATGGTGGTCAATCGATGTTGTCATATCTGGTTTGGGGCAATGAGACGAGAGAAGAGAAGAAGAGGTCTCGAGGGTGGAGACTTCATCCGCATCAAGTGCACGAGCTTCCATCACCTGTATACCACATGTTCGTGACTTGAGACTCCAACTCACTGACAAGAACCTCAACTTCAAAGAGGTTCTGGGGTGGACCGAAACTTAGGAGCCATCGTCTGGCTCACGACGGGAAAGAAGCGCTTGTTGGGAGGCTACCAAACCAGTCACTTTGCATTTCTTTCTCTTTTTCTCCTCAGTTGAGTCAATTTTGTTATTTTATTTTAGAGTAAATAATTCAACCTTTGTGAGATTTTGTGGTGTTTGTGTTCCCACTACTCTCTCCTCCTTGAATACACCGCCTGCCCCGTCCACCATCATTCACCCTTGATCTGGTAACTTCATTCTACCCTCCTTATCTTTCCTCCATTGAGGACAATGTCGTGCTTAAGTGTGGGGGGATGATCGATTGTGTATGCGTGTGAATGTTTGGCTGTTTGTGTGCTTGGAGCCTAGTCCACTGTCCAAATTTCGATTTGAGGGCTCCAAGTACGTGTTTCCTTGCAAATTGCCTGCTCAGTATGCTTTGAATTGACAGTCTCTGTAGTAATGTGCAACCTAGGGAGGTAGTTTAGCACTATGGAGGATGTTGAAGTATAAGATTTTTCCTATCTAGCTCTCTACTGTGCCAGTTGATTTTGTGAATTAGTGGAGCTAAGACCGTTGAATTCATGTGGTAATGGTGACTCTGATTGGATTGTGTTATGGACTCGTGTATCGATCATGGTGCTCATGTAGGAAATGAAAAGCAGTTGGTCCTCCATGTTGAAATCATTGAAATCTTAAACATGGGGTAAGTCCAACATGTGTGGCACCATTCATTGCACAAAATCGGGTTTTGGAAGAGATTTTAGTGATCCTTAGTGGGGTACTCCTACAAGGTGAAACTAAGTTGTCTCTAGTACAAGTAAAATCTTCACCCGTTGAACGGTTTGCCTAATTGAGGATATGTTTTTAAGGGCACGAATAGAGCTTCCGACCCCCCTTAATTTCATTGCCCTCCACACAAGTTGAGGAAAAGGAGTTAAAAGAAGTACTCTGGCGAGCGCCAGATGTACAGAAATTGCTCTTGCTCGTCTAATAAGGGTCGGCCATGCAAAAGACTGCAGTTGGAACCCTCACCAAGTGAATGAAGAAAAAGAAAAAGGGGTTCCAATGGTGAAATGAAGTGAAAGAGCACCCCGGTACAACGAATCCTTGGTTGTGAATGGTGTGAGTCCCTTTATCCATGAACTGGCTGTCTTACTTCCATTTCTTCTCATGATCCTCGCTTGAGTCTAGTACTCGCATTGAGAGAGATAGGGAACGTCTTAAAAGACCAGTTGACCTCGCAAAGAGCTATATGATCTAGGAAATACTCTACCGACGATCGGGGACAAGCAAACGGTTAAGTGTGGGGGAGTTTGATAGACAATTGATTGAACATGTTTTTACCCCTATTCTTGAGCCGTTTGAGATGTTGATTCTCGTGTTTTAAGTCGATTTCACGGTAGGTTGTGTGTTTATGTCATATTTCAGGGCTTGGCATTGGCATCGAGGCGAAGAAACGAGTTTCGGGTAGAAAGGAGCATGTTTGAGTTGAAGTGTGCTAGAGGAGCAAAATACCCGGCCGGGTATTAATATGAGCAGACTGGGGAAAATCACTTTTGGGCGTTTGAGAAGCAGAAGGGGGCCCGGGCATTGAGCATAAATCCCCGGTCAGGTATTCTTGACCTTGACCGGGGATTAATCCCCTATCCTCGACGGTGCGTTTCAACAATCCTCGGCCGACCACCTAAAATACCCGACCGGGGATCGCGGACGCAGGCTGTTAAAAGCCTGTTTTGTGCGTTTTTGAAAGGGAGAGCTGGGTTTTGGATCTCAAACACCCAAGGGACGAACCAAAAAGAGAGAGGGCGATTTGAGGACATTCTTGTAGTGGAATTGGAGGATTTCTTCGCCTTGGAAGCTCGAGTAACAAGCCCGGACTTGAAGACTGATCATCTGAAGATTCTTACTGCAGTCTCTCTCTTCTCTATGGAGTAACTTCCCTTCACTTAAGTTTTGAGGAACCCTAGCTATGTTTGTTTGATTGGATGATTGTATGAGTACTCCTACTTGATAATCTTGAGTTCATATTCAATCTATGCAAGTTTTCATGATTCAATTATGCTTTAGTCGAGATTATTGATTCTGCTTTGATCCTATGAGAGCGAATACCTTATTAGGTCAATAGGGCACCATAGATTGATAGTATTGGATCGATTGCTTTAGTCGAGGGTCGATTCACTGCTTTTTATCGATTGAGAACCTCATTTGATAGAGGGAGTCTAGTTCAGAATGCCTTGATCGGTTGTTCTAGAGAAGGATACGCCCCTCTAGGCAATCGACTCAAGAGGGCCTTGATCCTTTAGTCGAGATTCAATGTCTAGTAAAGGATTCTCCGCATTGTGAATGAAAGTGAAACAAGTTAGAAATCATCAATCATTAATCTGGCTAGTGGCTAGGGGGAATCATACCTAAGTGAGTTCCCAACCTGTAATTAGATTAACTTTAACTGTAGTTCGTTAGAGTAGTTTTAGTTCTTCCATTTTAATCTGGTTTGCTAGATAATGAACTGAAGCTGAGTAATAGTAATTCTAGAGACCTGTGGATTCGATATTTATTAATTGAGCCACTATACTGCAGTCCCTTTCATTGGTTACACTTGGCCATTGTTAGGAGTTGTGTCATAGCGAGTCATTGGTTCTTCCCTTTCATTATTTTTTATAGTTGTGAGAAGGAAGTTCTCCAAGACTAGTCCTTCATTAATCCATGGGCGGGACTAGAACCTGGTGTTTTTCCATCCCTGATACTCTAGCATGTTGTCGACTTCATAATTAGCATAGCCTTTGGAATGTCTTTTCAAAGCAGGGAGTGATTGCTTGTTTTCATAGATTTTATGTTCCCCTCACTTTGCCTAAAATATTTGCTCTAGAGAATCTGAGCCTACAGAGTTTGTTCATCTTTAAGCATCTGCCAAGAAAATTTTACTAAGTATGCCATATTGAGACTTCGGGCATATCTAATCCCCAAAATACCTTGGTCTTTTGGCTTATAGAACGTTTCCATTGGACAATGTCTATTTTTCTTTTTTCTTCATCTTACGCCAAGATAAATCCCTCAATTTTTTATTTATTTAATTGCATATAGACATAGGTAGTCTACATAGCATAAGTGGGTTGGCATTTAGCACATCACATGCAAGAGTAGCTCTACCAGCAAAGGATAAAGTTATGGACTTCCAAGTGTTAAGTTTAAGGTCTATCTTCTCTAGAATGTATCTGTATGTATCCTAGTGATTCTACCAAGGATAGCTAGGACCCCTATATGCTTACCTAAGTTACGGTTACTCTATATTTAAGTCGATTACAGATACAATTCCCATCAATAGCCTTCACATTCTTAGAGTAGAAAAATCTCAAATTTTATGTTTGTTGTGTCCAAGAGGACCTGAGGCGCGAGACCATTTTATTTTTAGTTATTCTCCTTACACCAGCTGGGCGATGAGGTCGGTTTTGTAGTCTGCAGTGTTCCTAACTGGGCAGATTGATCCCAACAGTTGCAGTGGGCTATCTCTTAGAGTCAGGGTGGTAGAGAATCCGTGAGGAGGTTGCTATGAAATCTTGTGCTCAGTCATATATGGCTTGAGCATTGGCAAAGATTCTATGGTAGGGGTGTCTTGACCCCATTGCAATTAGTGCACCAAATTATCTCTGATGCAAAGATGTTTTCAGTAGGTAGCCATACCATTTTTAGTGTTAATAGCTTATAGTTAATAGTTAGTTGTAGGATTAGAAGTTTTTGTAAGACTTGGCACTCTAATAGCCTAAATGTAATGCTCTGAGAAGAGGTTCTGCACTTGCTGCATCTCGATCTTAATGGAATTTTTTTATTGAGCATCAAAAATAAATCTCGACTTTTCTTTGCTAAGAGCTTGCCTGAAGCCTCGCAGAATTGTTGAATACAGTTCACAACAACCTCAGATTACTTGATTCTAGCTTCAACAAAGATGACAAGGTCAGTAGCAAAGAAAATGTGAGGTCGTTTGCTTGTTGGATTTTAGAAAATGAAAGATTTAGGTAAGACTTTGGATTTTATGGATGAAGGAATATGTGGGATTTTGTTACTTTGGATTTGTGTTGGATTTTAAAAAGTGCATGTTTGCTTGTTGGATTTCATATTGGATTTGTGTCCATGGGATTTATCAATTATGGGCTGAATTTACATTTGTATCCTTGTCCTTAATGTTCAATATAGGAAATATTGAAAAGAGATGAGGATAGACCTGTCATTTACCATCATGGACTTTAGCCTCCCACAAAATTCCAACTAAATAGGTGGGATATTATAATCCGTGGACCCCATGGATTTTGACCTAAAAATAATCCCACATACATGGGCCCCATACAACATAATCCAACACCACTTTAACACCAAACATGGACTTTGTGCATAATCCCATGGATGTGGGATTTTTATCCAAAATCCATGATGAAAATCTTACAAGCAAACGACCTCTAAGATAACTTATGCCAATCTCTTGAAATTATTAGGGGATTTCTATCTACATTTCCTAAATTCTCTTGGATACAATGGTCTAATGTTTCAATGCATAAGGAAAAGAGATAGGGTGATAATGGGAGGAATTTTACAATACTATATAACATTGGTGCTATAAGTTTTTCTTTATGGTACAACTTTAAATTGTACCTTTAACATTATGGTACAACTTCAGATTGTACATACACTTTTTATACAAATTATTTTATGGCACAACTTAAACTTGTACCTTATGTGATGGTACAACTTTACAAGTTGTAAAGTTGTACCATCACATAATGATACAAATTCCTTAATGGTACAACCTAAACTTATACATTTAATGTTATGGTACAACTTCAAGTTGTACATTAAAGCACCAATGCTATATAGCATATTAGAAGTGCTCGTGATAATGGACATCCATGACTTAGTCCTCGGCTTGGGGTGGACTTTTCTATTTCTCCTCCATTCCAGAGTATTTTTTGTTCTGTTGTTGTTACACATCTCATGATCAAGATAATTACATCGTCTGAGATTCTTACAACATTGAAGGTTTCTTAGAGGAAGCTCTAGTCCAATGGTTTGTATGCTTTCTCCAAATCAATCTGTAACACCCTACCCTGTACGTTTTACCTAATCATATTGTTCATACATTTGCAGCGGAAATAATCTCGGGTGTTACATTAATTATCACAATTTACCCAAATAAATTTCGACATGAATTACTCGTGTAATGGGCTAACAGTTCTTGCAACTTATCCTGCCAAATTATTTATCTGAATCCCTGCATTCTTAGACATACATATATGCTCATAACCATATACATTGACTTTCATAGCAATAGTCATAGTTTCATACTCCACAATAGCAACCTTACTAATACATGTCATAGTCGTCAGAACTTACACAACCATACAAATATATACGTATCAACTTTCCACACCTGTGGACAATGCAGTCAAAATCTAGATTTTAAGTAAACTCGAAAACTGAGTTAGAATCGAAATCGTAGATTAAAATCGTAAAATCGTAAGATTTTAAGGTTCATATTAAAATAAATACTTAAAATACTAGATAGTAATAAAAATGCATATCTTGAATAACAATCCAGCACATAAAGCATAATTACTTCCCAAGATAAGTTTGTTTGCTAAACAAACACAACTAATCCATATATTTTTTCTTGTACATAATAGAAACACACAAATAAGAAACCTTAAACATTATAGATATCACTGTTAATTAATTGTTAAGAGTAGAAAATCATATAAGATCGTTAGGATCAACATTAACATCACTTACACATCATCGTCATCATCCTCGACCTCACCCTCACTCTCATTGTTTTTATTTGTTTAAGGACGAATATCATTACTCTTGTGATCACTTGAAGTACTTTGACCATTAACCATATTTCCTTGATTACCATCATCTGGAAAAGATAACTCTTTGATTGATGCATTCCCTTCTTAATTGATAAAAGGTCGGGTTAGTGGTGCTGAAGGATTGGGAGATGAACAAAAGCTTGCAATGTAATGGAGATTTGGATTATTGTGAGGGTGGTGGGAACAAACTACAAGCTAATTGGGAGGGTGGAAGATATCGTTGATCGAAGGAGTTGGGCGTCGATGTGCGAAAGAGGAAGATACGAGGAAGAGAATGAAAATAAATTGAGGGTAACTATCAGGTTGGGGTTGTGTTGTTCATTATGTTGGGTTGGGGAAAGTAAATTTGACTCGGTTCATGGGCATAACCGAACTTGATCGGCCTAATTTTGATCCAATTGATATGAACCTTGAAATCGTACAAAATCGTAGAAATCGTAGATTTTATGGATTTTAGAGTTTTAAATCGGGATTTTATGGGATTTTAAGGTTCAAAGATTTTACAGTAAAATCAGGATCGGAACCCATAGGTAAGATCGTAACATCGTAAGATTTTAAGATTAAAATCGGGATTTTGACTACATTGCCTGTGGATATCTCACACTACATCAGAAGATAGCATGCACATGAAAAACGTTCTCAAAACATTTTTACAAAAAGGTGTGGATCACTGGCCAAAATCTCAGGTAATCGTCCAAGCACATAATAGTTGAAGACAATACCTCATTCTACCTTCAACTCCTCGCTCTGCTCACACTTATGTACTTACAACTGCTAATGCTACTGATGATTTGCTTACACATAGCATAAGCAGAGGAAAAGAATAAAAGAGGGTAAGCTTATAGCTGAGTGAGATAATCATAACATCGTGAGTTCATAACAAAGCATACCACTACCATACATCTAGCAAACAAGCCAAAGCACTAGGATCAGACCTCAGCCATCCGACATCCCAATAGGCAAAAGACTCAACCACCTTGACTTATGCATATGCATCTTATCATGTTTTAATCATAGGCGCCTGGCTACTCCCATGCTAATTACTCTCCCGGGAATACAGACCAAACATCTCGTGGATGTGGTCATATCAGACCCACCATTGCCGGTTAAGTCATATCGGACCTGACACCACTCTGGGTGTGGTCATATCAGATTCAACACTACTCTGGGTGTGGTCATATCTCATGATGAATCAACGGTCAACACCACATCAGGGGTGTGACATAACATATCATAACGGAGTAATATCATGGGGAGCCTTAATTACTATGTAATTGACCATGAGACCAAAGTACTCTTACTTGATATCCTTATACATGATCCATATCTCATCTTGCTTAATCATAATCCATTACTTGGACATGTTCTTGACCTGGCCACAATTGGCTCAACATAACCAGGAGTTGTATAATTGAACTTCCTTGGGATAAACCCTCGTGCAAGTCATCCTCCTTAAACATCATAATATCGCCAGGGAATATATTTTCCCACATGTGCATCCAAATACAACAATCATGAAAAATCATACCCAATCATCTTCTCGAACCATCATAAAACATATTAACAATCAAGCCCACAATGTGCAACATATACACAATCATCAGCATAAACAAGGTCCATATCGATTAGGGCAAGTCAATAATATCATACAACAATCCATGGTTCATCATATAGCAGAAAAGTCCATACACCCCTAATCATGCCATTCTAGTTCACCTAGGTCAATTCTAAGCATCACTATAATTAGCGTGATACGACAAACCCGGTATGCCGTGCTAATCCCTGACCAGTTCTGGTCGTTCAAACACCGATTTAAGCTTCCCGTACTAAAACGTCAATTTCACCAACGAACCCCGAATTAAAATCTGAGACCGTCCTAATATCCCCTGTAGTATCTCCGTCAATGTTAGTTCTAGGCTCCGGATAAAATTCTCAATAAAAACACATCAAACCCTGGCTGGAGCTAAATTCAGCGATTCCGGCTCTGACCTATATAATAGCCGAAATTCATGGATTAGAACCAGAGGATTAATTACCTCGCTGCAGGAAGCTCGTATATGAAATTTGGGCTCAATCTGACTTCTAGATACTCCAAAACCCTAATTTGGCTTATCGGGAATTCAAGAAATTCCTAAATCAAAAACTCGTTTTAAAGCTCTAAATCGATAAATCACGATGTATAGATGAATTAGGAATTACTTACGGGATTTTTGGATTGCTAAAGTTCAAGAATCAAGCTGTGAAAATTTTCCCAGGAGCTCCCCTATGCGCGACTCTGTTTCTGCTTCTCTGTGGGTTTTGCGAAATCGGAAATGGAAAATGAGGGGAGGGGAGGGGGAAAAGTCATGTATATATATATAGCGGCTGCTGCCGCTATTGCTTGCATTTATTATTTTTTTATAATAATTATATATATATAGGCTTAATATCTTATTTTTGCCCGAAGTTTGGTGTAAGTGTCAATTTTGGCCTGAACTTTTCAATAAGACAACTATGGCCAATTTTTCAAATTAATGTACAGATTTGGCCCAAAATTTTCTTTGACTGTTATTATTAACAGTCAAACATCTATCCGTTAGTGACTCATAATTCAGTAATGAGATGGCATCCACATCAACTAATATTATTTTTCAATTTTATATTTATTTCTCAAAATTTCAAAAATAAAAAATATAAATGGGCCCACATAAACTCTCTACCCCATTTCAAACCCAAACCCCACCCATCCCTGCGCCCCCTCCAACCCGTCATCTTCTTCCTCTCTACCGCCCGTTCATCTTCTTCATCGTTCCATACGCAGGATCCGGTCCACTACGGCGGCGATAATGGCTCTTCCTTCGCTTCTCCCGCCGCCACGCTAGATTGCTCGTGGTTTGTGTCCGAGAACTTGACCGAACCCTAATGGATCTAATACTTCCTCGAGCTCCACCCTTCTTCCCCAAACTCAACCCTCGATCTGTCACCTCTATCGCCGCTGCGTCAATGACCTTTGTTTCTCGTCGACGCCTTCATTTTGATTTTCACTATGGTTGTTGATTTAGATTAGGGTTTGAATTTGGGGCTTTGATTGGGTAAGAAAATGCAGAAGAGGGGGTTGTTTCCCTGCTAAAGATGTCATCGCTCGACTCCCACGATCAAGACGATGCTCTGGTGAGGGATGTCGATGGGATTGATGATTTGGCAGTCTGCGTCAGCCTTGAAGATCGATAGTTTACTTTTCTTCTACGCCTGCCATCCCCCGCTCCATCTTTATCCCATCAGATTGTCGATTTTGATTCTCTCCCCCCGAAATCATCGCCCTTACTCTCACCTCCAACTGCTGGTCAACGATTGCTTTCCCTGCTTCTGCTCGACTACTATTCAGGTGACACCGGGCAGAATTTTGAAGGTCAGGATTGGGGGATTGAAGATTGGAATCAGCTCGGGTGGAAGAGGAACGAAGACGATAAGGGAAAAATTGACTTAATAAATTTTATTAATGTGGTTGGTCGCTGAAGCGTCGGAGGAAGAATGTTGGTGGTTGCCGGAAAAATGTAAAAGTTTTTTATTGTTATTTTTTTAATTATTCCTTAAGCCATGGATTTTGAGACAATAAGAGGTTTTTTTTTATTTGGTAAGTTTTTGTTTTAACTTTTATTTTAATTGAATTAAAAGAATAATGACATGGCACCCATGCATCAGCCACGTCAGCAGCATTTTGCTGAGTCTTTCACGGATAGATGTTTGACCGTCAATATAAACGGTAAAAAAAAAATTTGGGCCAAATTTGTCAATTAATTTGAAAAGTTGGCCACAATTATCTTATTGAAAAATTCGGGCCAAAATTGACACTCACGCCAAACTTCGGGCCAAAATAGGGTATTAATCCATACATATATATATATATATAAATTAATACGTATATACTTATCCTGTCGATCGATATCCCGATTTTTGTCGAAATATTATCAAAATACCCAATTTTAAATCATGAAATTTTCTTGCGATCGAAATACGAGTTTAGCCGAAATGGGATGTTACACAATCTTTAGGAGCATAACTCCTTTCTTTCATATATTATTGGACATGGATTGAATTGTCTCCTGCAAGATAAGTATATTATCAGTCATATGTCTAGTTGGTACAGAGCTGTACTGATTAGGTTGAACAAGGTGATTCATGAGGGGTTTCATTATATCATCCAGACACTTAGCCACCACTTTCTAAGACACATTGTAGAGGCTAATGGGTCAAAACTAGTTCATGGAGCTGGCTTCCTCCACTTTTGGGATCAAGGTCAGAAGCATCTTGATGATGTTGACGCAATCTGGACTGATAAAGCATCAAGACGTAAAGATGGTAAAATCAGAGCCAATTACATCCCAACATGCTTGGTAAAAAAAATCATGGAAGCAATCCTTTCTAGGTGCTTTCATCCCACTCATCATCATCACATTGTTCTTCACTTTCATCAGGCATGGTGGTCTTGCAATCTTAGTCAGAGTTGCTTCTTCTAATTTAAAGAAATTAGTCGCCACATAAGGACGCTCCCTATGTTGCTCTTGTGTATAAGTTTATAAGAAACTATCTGGCCATCTATTGGAGCATAGTGCATCCATAATCCATTGGTTGATATAATGTTTTAGGCCTTTGATCTAGTTTATCATTTTTTGGGAGAGCGTGCTTGTGTGGAAAAATCTTGTATTATGATCCCCTCACTTTATTCATTTAGCTCTCAATTTTTGTAGCCATAGAACTTCCATCTTCCCATAGGACATCTTCCACTTCCTCCCTGGTGTTATGCTCAACAGAAAAAGATTGTCGAGTAGAATTTCTATCATTCCTCCACTCCAGTGAATTCAACTTGTTTGAGAGGATCTTCTTCCTTTTGAATATGTTTTCAAAAATCTATTTGTTCCAAATCGTTAACTTTTCGGTTAGGTCCTGCAAAGATGGAATAAACTCGTGACCATATTACCATATTACCAATAGCTGTAAGATAGTAGTTAGGGCTCCCAACCATGATATATTTGAGATGTATGAACTGTCTTTGGGTTTTCGTGACTTCAAGCATCATATTACCTTTATTATATATAATACAAATTCCACCACTGAAGCCAATCACGTAAGATAATTCCCAAGAATCATATTCCAACAATTTGATAATTTCAAGAGCTTCCTCTTCACTGATCCTTAGTTTCATAATATGCACAATGCTCGAATTATGTGTGGCCCTATAAAACTAAAAATAAGATAAAAATTTGGAATTTTTTGCACCCCTGCAGCTCCAAAAAAAAAAAAAAAAAAACTTAATCATTGGAAGATAATGAAGGCTTATCTAATGCAACAAAGTCGAGATTCTCAAACAGTGTCGATGACCATTATTCTTTTATCTGCATCCCTACCTACTTCACCAATTAAAACAGCAGGTGTTAGGACACTTTCTGATCCTTGTGTAGCATTCTTAATGCATTGATCAAAGACTATCTTTCTGTCATGTGTCTTCCCTTTGTACGGGGCTTTGGTCATGGCTTCTTTAGTTGCTTCTTTGCCTTTCCTGTTTGTGGTTACTTTTGGGTTTGGAATGGTTGACTTCTCCTTTAAAGTGTTTACCACTTCTTTGACATTTTTTTTATCTCACTTCCTTGGTTCTTGTTAGTCAGGTTCTCCTTGGTCTTAGTATAGTTTCATAATGTGGATTTCGTTGGCGTGCCCTTATTCACTGGTTGTTTTTGGCTTGTCTCCTTGGGAAGCCATTATTGTGGCCGTTTGGCAAAAACTAGAATATTTTGCCTACATAGTTAAATTCATGTAAGATAAAACATTGTACGCCTCATAACGTTTTCACTAGGGATGGCAATGGGGCGGGTTTGTCTAAACCATCCCCATTCCCGTTTATAAATATCCAAACCCATACCGACTCGCTAAAACACCACACCAAACTACGAGTAGTATGAAAATGCAGTATAGTGGGTTCAGTTTTATTTATCAACCCCGGCCTAGATTTACCGTCTGATATGTGAAACCCTGTTATCTAGCTGTAAAAGTTGAGTGAGAATGGGTTTAAACTAAAGCATAAAGAATGCAGCAAGTAGTTCGATTTTCTAAAGCAAGAGAAGACTCACTTGGGAATGAGTCCTCGTAACTCCTCAATTAGGTCCAAGATGTAACTCCTTTTGGTTGCTTTACTATTGATTAGACTGCGGAAGATCCGAAAATAGCTTGGAATCTCTTAAGCTGATCAGCCCTCTTAGACAGAATACCTGGCAGACGACTAGCCTTCACCAGGATAAACTACTAAGGCGATTCACACAGATCTTCACTACTTGGAACGAATTCCAATACAAAGCAGTGAATTGATTGACTCTCGTACGATCAATTCACTCCTATCGATTGAAGAAGCTCTTTCAACCTAATCAGGTTCTATCTATCATAGGTTAAAGCATAAGTCAAGAAAAATTGATCAGGATTCGATTGACTAAATAAACATGTCTCAATCGATTAAAATCATCCCGTATAACATCCAAAAGTTATCACCAGCAAGATACCTAACACATGGAATAAGGATTCTTCATACCAAAGTGAGAGAAAGATTCTCCATAGTGTGTGTGTGTGAGAGAGAGAGAGAGAGAGAGAGAGAGAGAGAGAGAGAGAGAGAGAGAGAGAGAGAGAGAGAGGAATATAGAAATCAAAGCAGTCATACTCATAATGATGTGTATAATCTGCTCAGGGATGTCAATCTTCGCTCCTTGGGACGCAACCTGGGCTTCAATGATGTGAAATCCACTCCAAATAGCTCATAGAGTTTGTTCCTCATCACTTTCTCTCTCTATAACTCTGTTTTTGCTCAAAAAAGCTGAATCCCCTTCTTTTGACTCGAATATGCCAGTTTAACCCGATACTAGGCAAAACACGGGCGGCCAGTTACACAGCCGTGTTCTTGCCGTGTCCCGCTCGTGCTTTGTATCATTCAGCAGCGTTCACGAGCCAGTCTCGCACATAAATGCACTGCCAAGTTGTCGAAAAAACACGACTGTGTCTTATGGGAACCCACTCGTGTTTAGCTTGAGGATCGTCACCACGCTCGGTATAAAAAGCACTAGCGGGGTGCTGAGTGAAACACGGTCGTGTTTTTAGGGAATGCTGCTTGTGTTTCTTCCTCAGCTCCACTTTTGATAGGCTTTTGAGTGACCAAACAACCTCCGATTGACCCAAAAGTTGCGCCTATGCCTCCCTTTACCTGCTAGGATCTGAAATATGACAAAATAGTACAACCTAGCATAAAATGGGCCAAGGAGCCACAAATTCGAGCCGAAACAGTTAAGAAACACATGTGCAAATGTGACGCTCTCACATACCCACCCCAGAGCCATACCGTGGAATGTTTTGCAAACCCATCCCGTACCCATGGGGTTCGGGTACCCGTGGGTAATACCCGCCCTGTACATTCAACAAAGATACAATCATTCTTAATGCGTTTTAAATTATATGATTCTAAAACAACCATTAATCCATATGATAGAGTACGATATTGTTCAAATTATTATTCTCTAACTCTCATACATCTACCAAATAATCATCAATTAACATAATTATCTTACTATCAAGAGGGAAAAGTGAAATGATGAAGGGATAAGTGAAGAAAAAGAATTACCTTTTGATTTGGATGGGCACTGAATTGCATTTTCACAATTTATTTTCTCTGAGTAACCTCATTATCATGATAGGTTACAATTTGATCTATGCATTTTTAGAGCTAATTCAACTAGGAAACCCAAACTATTCAAAAAGTATCACTTGTGTCCTAAACTATCCAATATGAAAAATCTTGCACGAACTATTTTTTCCTTAATGTTGACCGACGTAGATCGTTAGTATTTAACAGAAAATCTAGTGAGCATCGATGTGATTTGTGCTAGATTTGTCATCTTGAATAGTTTAAGACACAAATGTCACGAAATGCATATAGTTTGTGTCAAATTTGTCATATGGAATAATTTAGGACATAAATGACACTTTTAGGATAATTTGAGCTTTCTAGTGAAATTAGCACTATTTTTTATATGTGAGGCGGGTATGGGTATGGGGTGGGGGAGGCTAAAGTCATACCCGCCCCATACCTATTAAACTTTTTGTGAACTTTACCCATATCCACCCCATACCCGGTCAATGCGGTAATTCCCCACATTTACTAGGTCGGAAAAGGTCGTGTGCCCGCGGTTATAGGTTCGATTAACATCCCTAGTTTTCACCGATCTTGACAAGCACCTCTTATAATCTCAAAGCTACGAGATAGTTATTTTTTGGGTCACCGTCATCACCACCATTATTATGATTCTTCAACACCCCAAACTAATCACGCACATCCCTTTTTCCTTTGGATTCTAAAAATCAAAGGTATCGTGATTGAATTGTTCAATACCGTTAAAACTACATGTTGAATTGAATTTTAGTAAATGTTTTTTTTTCGATCGAAACTTCGGTAAGGTACAACTTTTGCTATCGAGGGGAAAAGGCATCTTCCCAGCTTGTTCAAGAAATGAAGCCGAGTAGTGAGAATCTTAACATGTGGAGAGAGGTGTGATTGTGCCAAATTGTTGGACCACTTGCTCTTGTTAGCAAATTAAATAAGTTTATGTGTCTTTTTAATTAAATAATTTTCTAATCAAACTTGTTAAAAGTTAGGACATAATTAGTATTGTTTTCATGCAAATATTTTAAAAGAAAACGAGTTGGAGAGGCATGTTCGGTGACATAAGCTTCCATCTATATTATTTTAAATTTCTTGTCAAGGTGATGATCGAATTGGAAAGTTAACCAAAATTGAAAATGGATCTCTTTCATTTGGCTTTGTTTAAAGGATGGGCGGTGCTTTCATGCGTACCTTTTTGTATGGTGGTCGGGGAAGGTGCATTATTTTAAATCTTTCTTTATGGAATGAATTAATTTATTATAATCTACCAAATTATAATTCATTTTATAATATATTTGGGAAATATTTTTTTGGAGTACTCATTATCTCCTTCATTTAACTCAATTCAAAAAACATTTACGCAAAAATCAGTTCATTGTGATCTACAAAACAATAGTCATGATATATTTCGGAGTAAATTTTTTTCCAAAATATATTTCCATACCACAAATGACAGTTCATATATTCCTACACTCTCTAAAGGAACAACGTCCGACCTTCATTCAAATTCATTTGAGCTTCTGTGTGGAAGTAGGTACATAAAGGTTTAGGCTCTTCCTCCAAAGAAAACATGTGGGGAGGGCCTAAAGAATAAAGGTGGAGTAAAAAAGGTAGTTTCTCACCATAAGTTAGGGGTGGACAACGGGAAACGGGTATTTGGGTATACCCGTACCCATCCCATTTTTTAAGGGTTACGGGTATCCAAATACCCGTAATTTTTTGTACGGGATGAGACTTGGGATCAAGAATTGCTACTTTGGGTACCCACGGGTTACCCGTTAATACCTGTTTGAGTATTACGGATACCCGTTTTACCCATTAATCCATGCCAATCTAGAGAACAAGAATGGAGCTATACTGCATTCCAATTTTCCTCCTAGATGGAGCTATACTGCAAGCTCTGCGACTCTAATAAATAGCTTTCCCTTTCTTATTTCCTCCATTTTCTCTGTGACTATCCCTTCCATTCCAACATCAACCTTACCAAACTCAAAATAATCCAAACTTCCATTATCACTCAAAATGAAAACTAAGCGTAAACTCTCTTCTTCGCCAGTTCATGTTGGCATGTTGCTGCGGTAGTAATGAAGCTTCACTCCAAACAAACCCCTGAGCTCTTCGTGCGAATAACATTGGGTAGAGATCGAAACCTGGACTTATTTTCGAGGATGTTGACGTGGGCTGGCGAGAATGTAAGTGCGGAAGATTTGCTAGGTCTAGTGGATGGATATTTACGGATAGTATGGGTACCCGTTATCCGTCCCGTACGGATTTGGGACATGGGATGGAGATTGCTCTCCAAATGGGATTGGGTACCCGTTTCAAACGGGACGGGTATCCCGTCCCATCTCGTTGCCCACCCCTACCATAAGTAATAGTCTTAATTTAGAATACAAGGGGCTTTCACTTCCCCTCAAAGTATGATTATGTGTTTCGTTACTTGAGAATGCATAAAGTGTTTCGTTTTGCGTTACTTGAGAAAAAAGTGCATAAGAAGATAGACTAGCTTAGACTGTAATTTGTTGATTACAAATTTGTAGATAATTACAAGATGAATAAGTT